TAAACCTTAAATCAGGAAGTTTGTGTTGGTATTTTTTGATGATATACTCATATATAGCCTTACTCTTCAAGATCATACAACTCATTTAACCATTGTGCTGCAAGTGTTAAAGGAACATGAGTTATTTGCTAAAAGGAGCAAATGTTCATTTGCTCAGAATGCAATTGAATATTTGGGGCATGTGATATTAGAAGAAGGAGTTGATATGGATGCCAGTAAAGTGGAGAGTATAAAGAGATGGCCTATTCCTACTTCTGTGAAGCAATTAAGGGGATTTCTAGGACTTGCTGGTTATTACATAAGACTTGTAAAGGGTTTTGGCATCATCAGCAAGCCTCTTACTGATCTGCTTAGAAAGATGCATTCCAGTGGAACCAAGAAGTTGAGATGGCCTTCTTGAATTTGAAGACTCCTTTGATAAATGCTCTTGTTTTGCAATTACCTGATTTCAGCTTACCTTTCACAGTAGAGACTGATGCTTGTGATACAGGTATGGGTGCAGTGCTAACGCAACAGGGAAGACCAATAGCTTACCCCAGCAAAGCTTTCTCTCTCAAAAATCAAGGACTATCTATTTATGAAAAGGAGCTTTTGGGATTTGTTCTATCTATCAACAAGTGGAAACATTACCTTCAGGGCCACTGCTTTATAATCAAGACAGACCATCAAGCACTGAAGTATTTACTTGAGCAGAAATTGACCACTCCAATGCAGCACAAATAGCTAGCCAAGTTACTGAGATTGGATTATCCAATATAAGAAGGGTAAGGAGAATGTTGCAGCTGATTCTTTGTCAAGACGTCCTAATGTTCAGTTACAGGTGGAGGAACTGAATGCCATTTCAAGTGTCCAACCTGTATGGATGCAACATGTGGAAAGCACTTATGTGGGAGATGACAAAGTCCAACAAATGATAGCTTCTGTTTCTTTAAATCCTGATGGTCATTCAGAAATGCAACTGATCAATGGGATTTTGAAATATGCTGGGAGAATTTATATTGGACAAAGTGCTGGTATCAGGCAGGTTCTGATGGAAACTTTTCTTTCTTCACCTTTAGGTGGTCACTCTGGTCAGAAAGCTACCTATCAGAGGCTTAATTCTACTCTCACTTGGAAAGAAATGAGGAAAGATGTTGAGGAGTATGTGAGACAATGTCAGGTATGTCAAATGCACAAATCAAAAACATGTGCCATATCCTGGATTACTTCAACCTTTGAAGATCCCACAGGAAGCATTGACAGGGATCTCTATGGATTTTTTAGGGAAACTACCTCCAACAGCTGAGGGATTCACTTCCATTCTAGTGGTTGTGGACAGGTTGACAAAATATGGACATTTCATCTCCTTGAAGCATCCATTTACGGCCAAAATCATTGCTGATGTCTTTTTTAAGGAGATTTTTAGGCTTCATGGAGCTTCTAATTCTATTATCAGTGATAGAGATCCTATATTCACTAGCCATTTTTTGGCAGGCTTTATGCCAAACTATGGGGGTCACATTGAGTATGAGCAGTGCTTACCACCCACATAGTGATGGACAAACAGAAAGGCTCAATCAATGTCTTGAAACCTATCTGAGATGCTTTTGCAGCCAAAATCCTAGCTCCTGGTCTTCTTGGTCGAGTATGGCAGAGTGGTGGTATGATACATCTTTCCAATTTAGTGCTAGAATGAAACCATTTGAGGCATTATATGGATCTAAACCAATCAGCATTCCCATGGGACCTTATACTTCTTTGGTGATACCAACAGTGGAGCATATGCTCGGAAAGAGAAATGAGATTCTGAGAACTTTAAAGGATAATCTGGAAAAGGCACAGATCCATATGAATTTTTATGCGGACAATCATAGAACGGAGAGGACTCTCAACATTGGAGAGTGGGTTTATGTCAAGCTTCAACCTTATAGACAGAACTCAGTGGCCTTTAGAGCTTTTCCTAAATTGATGATCAGGTATTATGGCCCCTCTAAAGTGCTGGAAAAGATTGGACAGGTTGCTTACAAACTTCAACTTCCAGCTCATTCCAGAATACATCCCGTTTTTCATGTTTCCTTGCTCAAGAAGTTTGTAGGAGCAAGACCAGTTACTCCCAATGAATTGCCAGACTTAGATGATTTTGAGTACACAGCTTTAGTTCCAGAAGCTGTTTTGCAGCGAAGGATGGCGATGAGAAATGGAAATGAAGTGATTCAACTGCTGATTAAATGGAGGAACATGCCTGAAGAAGATTCATCTTGGGAAGACTGTTCGTTCATCAAACATCAATTTTCTGGATTTAAGACTTGAGGACAAGTCTATTTTTAGAGGGAGGCAATGTCATGCAAGTCGGGTTGGAGAAACGGGTTCAGTATTTCAAACTGTGAGATTAGGGTGCGAGGACGGCGACGTTTCGGCCTTAATTGGGGATCAAGTTTGCTGCGGTTTCCTGGCAGCTTCCTCATGCAAATATACAAATAGTACTATGTAGTGAGCTGTAAATTATTACCGTTTTTTATGTCTTTTTGCTCTTTTTCATTTACTCTAAATTATTAGCTAAATTACAAGATTAGAAGGAATCTTTACTCATATATATTGTTCTGGAAGTTTACTGATTAGATCATGCTGAAAATTAATGAAATGGAAACTCCTTCTTCTCCAAACGCTTTCCTCTTATCCTTTTTCTTCCCTTTTCTTTTGCTTTTCTCATCACCTTCTTATCTCATCTTTTCTGTCTGCAAATCTGAAATCCTTTTCTGTACAAACTTTTGTAATCATCGGCTCTGCTGCATCACAATTTAAGTGTTTATGTGAATTCTTTTTTCTTTTCTTTTCCATTACGATGGAGGAGGTTAACACCTAAATTACCAAATTTTTGGAGTATGATGTCTTTATTTCATCATCATGTTCCCATCGAAGTTTAATTCCCTATGGTTGTGTTTCAAGCCATTGTAATCACCCCTTTGCTTATAGGAAGTGCAAGACAGTGCTTGTATGAATGATGTAACTTATCCCTTTGCTCTTTTGTAAGGTTAGCCAATATTCTGCCTAAATTTATTTATCAAAAAAAAAACCATTGTAATTATCCTTGTGTAAGTCGCTAATGATGTCATACAATCGGCAACAAAATTAAATTCTAGATACACATGTTCAAACTTCAAACTGCAGGACCCAATTCCGCTTCAAGTGTTCACGTCCCGCATTGACCCCAAGAATTTCCTCATCCCGTTCACCGTTGCTATAATTCTTTTATTATCCATCTCGGCCATCGCCTTTCTTCCCCTCTCTAAACGTACGTTACTTCTTGTAATGCATTTCAATATTCGGGTCGTAGGATTTCCTCAATCTGTTGGAAAGCCTTAGAATGTAGGACAATGCTTATGAAATTTGTCTATTTCAGACCCAATGATGATGAAAAACCTGGACAATCTGAAATGTGATGCGTCCACATAGTTCTTCATTGATGAAGTGGTTCAAAGCGTTTAAATAATGAGGAAAACTAAATGGAACTCTTATTAAACCTTCAAAAGACAAAGCCTGGCTTTTGGTTCTCTGTCAATTCTTCCTTCCACACTTTTTTTTCTTTTGTTAGAAGCAATAATAATTGTATCCGTGAGTAATCAATACTACCTCCATTTATTTTCATCTGCTGCTTTAAGATTTGTACAAGTATTAAGAAAATAGTAATTGAGGCTTTTATATAAGTGGATTGTATTTCTTGTCCCTAATTAAAAGTATTTGACTCTAGTTTAACAAAAAAAAAAAAGATTTGAACTCTACAATAAATAGTTGTCATTAATATATGTTATTAAAACTAGAGAGAGATAAATGTGAAATTGAAAAAACTATCTTAATACTGCATTGTAGAAGTGCGGCAAATGAAAATAAAATTAGGTTAACCCTACAAAATATATAAAAGTAAACGGAGTTAGTAAAAAATACTCCCTTTGTTCCCCGAAAAGATAGTACCTCTTAAGTTTTGAAATTTGTAAACTCTTTGTCTCAAAATTATTCTCTAGTTCGATTTTTAAATTTTAGTTCAATTTATACTAATATTGAAAACTCAAATTGGACAATAGTTTCGGCTTAGAGAAAGTTTAATTTGTTTTTAAAGTGATGAGGAGAGGATAGGATGGAGTAGCTCTTGATTAGAGTGATGACAGGAAAAAAAAAAAAACACTCTTTTACGAATGGAGAACAATAGTACGAATGTCTATACACTGTTAGCTATAGTGATGATACAATAACGAGTGGTAAAAAAGGGTGTGTACAGTTAATTAAGCCTCCGAAACACGCTATGTACTCGGTTCGATTATTATGAGTTTATAGCTGAAGTTTGAGGCAATTTCACTTAGGCTAGATTCGTCAAGTATCACGGTTATTGTATTTTTTATTAAATAACATCGTTGGGCATTGACAAAAAAAAAAGAAGCGAACTTACATATGAAGAAGAAAAAATTTGTCCTTCAAAATGATGGAAATTGAGTTATGCCATGCAGAACTTTACTCTCAACAATTTCCCCTCATCATGGTCATCAAACATTTCCATTTTACTGCATGTTCATTATTGAGTAATAGAATTATAAGTGATATCGATCGTTTCCATCAACAACGAAGATGCATGATTTCGAACGCGTCGAATTGATTGATCTATTTGTCGTATGGTAGGGCATTTAAAATAAACATTTCTAAACAAATTATGATAACCAAATTGAAGAAAAACATGAAGAAGAAAAGGTATATGGCGCGCTTATGCAAATCAATTAAATCTACTGACAGCTGACACAAAAAGTTTAAATTGGATCCAAAGAAGTTTTTTCTTTTAATTTTTATTGGATGCCGAAATTTGATAAGTATAAATACATAGAGAGACACCATGTCTATGTGAAGCGGTAAAAAGGAGACTGTAAGCACAAACTTTGATTGATTAAAGTACAATTTGAAGTTCATGCTCTAGGCTAGTTTCGAGTCTTCAGCACTTGTTTTCAAGATCTTCATCATCATTAACATCATCAAACAATTCAGTAACTTGTCTTGAAAGGCTTGTAAGTTTTAAGATCAGTAACAACTCCAGCAACGGAACGAGCATCAGCAGCAATCGATATGATCAAGCATGCGACACTTAATATTTGTAGGCATATCCATTTTCGGCTCCACTTTTGTATCTTCATCTGTACAATGTACATTTGAACTGGGAAGTATACTGTTAGAGGCCAAAATCCAATGGCTCCAAGAATGCCAACTACATCATTGAAGAATGGCATAAGCATCGAAATCATGGTGGTGAAAATGACAAAAATCGTGCGCCAAATTAACCGGAAGAAGTTGAGTTTGTATGGAAACTTGAATCCATACAATGGGATTTCGATTTCTTGGGAGATGTACAGCTTGCTTTCCGGGAACCAGTCTATCGCAATGTTTTCAACGAACGCCAAAAAGGGTTGACTGAAGACTTGATATGCCCCAACAAGATGAACAACAATGGCTAAATTGGCTATGTCAACTAGCCAATATGGGTTGTAGAAATCAAAGCCAGTTAAGAGATTTCCGGGGGAGAGGTCTCCAAACGCTGCATACCCGAAGCAGCCACACAACATGTAAAAAACTGTGGTTGTCATCACCCTCACTAAAGTGGCCTTTTTCATTGTTTTGTGTTCAGATGGTGGAGACTTTATTGTATCTTCAATCTCAAGCAGGAATGCAGGATGAAGGAGTAAGAATAGGCAAAAGCAATTGCTCCAAGGGATTGAAAAACTCTCCAAACTTTGTCGATAGGAGTCACGGTTCCAATCTTGATTCCAGTAAGACTTCCCCTAATTTTACCTGATTCTGCAACCCTTCCAACTCTAAGGCCGAGACCAATCATAGAGTAAGTAAAAGACATCTCCGCAGCAACAATTGAGAGCCACCAAGTTGGGTCGAAATCAGGAATTTGGGCGAAAAAGATTTGAACAATACCAAACATTATCATGTAAAGATTGCTGGAAACTTTGCATGGATCTCTGTGGTGGCTCGAATAAAAACAGTTAGAGTTTTCGATTGCCACCATGCTTATGGAAGCTGCAAAGTATAACCATTTGCGGTGCCAACAAGATTCAGGTATTGAATTGCTCCACACAATTTCACTTGATAGCCTCCGAGGTTAGATTTCACAGCATCCATATAGGTATGACTTCTTTTCCCGTCTCCTGTCCCGTAACAAGGAGAAGAATAATGGAAGTATAGTATGTGACAAAGGCAAACAACAACATCACAGATGTACTAGCGACCCATCCAAGCTGCGCCATGGACCAAGCCAAAGACAAGACTCCTAAACCAATCACTGCGGTAATAATATGCGCACTTGTTGTCCAAACCGTCCCGGTTCTCTTTAGCCTTCTATCATCATCGAAAACTTTGGAGATATCTTGTGAAGAAACAGAAGGCGGAACATCGAGCGATCATCTTCAAGTCCTTGGTGGTCGCAGTTCTTCCCAGGTAGCACCTTTGATGAGACTGGCGTGTCCTCAGCCATCTTTCCTTTGATCAGCTGAGCATTTCTGATGATAGTTTCTCAAGAACAGTAACGAAACTAAAAAGGGTTCCTTATAAAGTAGAGAATTGCACCTGAAAACTGGTTCGGAAATCCTATATATTATATAATAAAGTAAAGAAGATCAAATGACAGTTGTCATTCAAGAGAGATCAATATGTCAATTTGTTATTGGTCATTCATTAAACTGTAAAATGTAATTAGTTAAACTGTAAAAAGCAAAACTTTATCTCTTTAGTTTACTCCAATTAATCTCCTCTATTAAATCTATACTAATTTACCAACTATAATGCTTTGTAAAATTTATATTTTATAGAAATAATGCCGAATTTTTTATTCTTTTTTCCCTCTTATGATGAACATTACTATTCCGGCCATTAATTAGCATGTACCGACGGCCTTTCTGGCATTTGTGTATTTATGATGCGGGTTATGAAATCCGTTAACAAAGTGCTTGGCCATAAATTTTTCCTTCGCCATAGGACATATCTTCCGGCGATCATTTTCAGTTTATTGATCGTTCTTCTTCCTCGATTCCTGTTGTTGCTGAATGTGCCTTATGATCTGATCGTGCTTTGCACGGCGAATTTTGATTTTTATCTCCAGCTTTTGACTGACCTTAAATCCCGTGATTGAGTGTTCTCCCTTCGCTAACTCTCCGGTGATGGTCCTTCCGAAAAGTTGAGCCGACGTGATGATTCCTATTTTGACTGGCGGAATTAATCCTGCATGAATTCAGGTTCTCTCCCTAGTGACTTTGCTCCGAATATATTTCTCCGTTGGTGGGTCTTCATTGTTACTACTACTGCCCGAAAAATTTTTAAACATGGAACAAACAAAATATTTTGTTGGCGCAGACCAAAGAGATAACAAACCAGTAAACATCCGTCTTTTACGTATGTGATTATTGTTTAACTACATATAACCATTCAAGAGGGAGCCGGTTTTGGCGCATATTATGGACATTGGATTAGATAATCAGATTGTTGAAAAAACCATTTTGAAGTGGGTCTGGTCTTTTTTCACGTATTTCTCTCATTGAATGATTTGATAAGCATCATTAAACTAATAACAATTTCCTAAAGTCATGCCTCAAATTTGAATTCTGCCCTTATCTCTCTCCTCAAATCTCATTGTTTACCTCAAATTCTAATCACATTTATCGTCTCCCATCTCTATTATCTCCTTCAAGCAGTCATCTTCCCTTCTCGCTTTGTTTTTGTCATCAAGTCATGCCACATTTGCCGTCTCGCCTTGCTTTTGCCCTTGAGTGGCCACGCTGCAACCTTACTTTGCTTGCTGCCTAACCAGAATCATGGATTCCGCATCAATTTCTTATTTGATAAGTGATTTAAAGAATTGATTCTTTAATATAATATATTTTTCATAATGCATTTATCTTTTCCAGTGTCTGATTGATTAGTTGTCTTTTCTTTTTCGTTTCTTTTTTTTTTTGGGTTATATCATAATGGCTGGTATGCTTATGCTGATTGTAGCGGAATAGTGAATGAAAAAGTATAAGTTCGCCGGTGAAGACTGGTATTTTTGTTTGGTTTTGTTTGGCTTTAATATTGGACTGATCATTATTACAAAAAAATGTTTGTACTCTTTCGTATTGTGAGTTTGATTTTGCAAAAGTTGACATCTGTTGCACCCAACGTTTAATTTGTTCGGATTAAAGTTATTGTTGTTTTGATGTGCAGATTCGGCCAAAAATGAGGTTTGTGGCTAGAATATTAGTTTTTGTAGCAAATTATGATTAATCTCGGATTGGAGTTTCCAAGCAGATGGATTGATTATAGTCAAGGTTTGTTATATACTTTTATCAAAATTTATAACTAAAATTTAAAGTGGATTGATTATAGTGTTTTTGTTATAGAGTTTCCAAGCAGATGGATTGATTATAATGTTTTTGTTTCGTCTTTTCACGAGTCATTATCCTGTTTTACTGTATATAGTCATTGTCCGTATAATATTACTTCTATCCCAAAAAATTAGTCCATATTAAGATTTGAAATTTTTATTAAAAAAATACGATTCTTAAAATTTAAAGTGAACTATTTTTATAGGACAGGAGTATAAATTACAAATTTGATCATTTTTCTAGAACAGTTGAGTATGTTATAACTAAAAGATCCAAATCCAAAGATCAAATAACTCATCAAAGTAGTTCATACCATGCCATTTGATCTATGTAAATTATCTTCCTTTCACATATGAAGATCCAAATTCGGCCCACTATTATATCTGGAGCAAATATTGGTAGGAAATGTTTCATTCCACATATGGATATTAGTCCCTCTAACGAAAAAATGCCAGTTAAGTTTAACTGTAGGAAGTTTTCAGTGGTCGTCTGTTTTGCTATGACGATAAACAAGAGTCAGGGACAATAGATCTCGAATGTGGGCTTGTTTTTGCGTCCTTTAGTTTTCACACACAGTCAGCTCTACGTTGCCTTTTCTCGGGTATAGTTCAGAAAGGATCTCAAAGTTCTCATTTACAATAAAAAATAAAAAAAAAGAATTTGGTAGCAGTACAACGAACGTTGTCTACAAGGAAAAAATTCAGAATATATGAACTTAGTTTTTTTCCCCCTTCAAAATAATACCCACATATTTGTGTTATATTTAGAAAAAATATTTCTACGAATTTTTTACATTTTGGTTTTGATAGTATTTCAAATTTTACATATATGGTTTACTTTAATAATTCACATTTCATGTAGAATTAATTTGAGACATTTTATGCATAATTTTTCTCATTTCAAGTCTACTGTGATAATATCTAAAAATCAACGTGCAGCGCACGGGTATTACACTAGTTTGCATAAGAGGAAACTAGATATATAGGGCTGGAGGATGGCTTGCTTACTTACTTCTTCTTTTTCGGTTTGAGTCGACTGGAAATTGGGGTATATATATTTATGGATGTGATTGCCGACTAAAGGCTTTTCCAAATACCAAACTGATTTTGGCACTTAAGAGTTTCCTAATAATATCAACGTTCCAGCTGACTTTTTGTTTGCCTAAAGTAATTGAAAAATTTGTATCCTTAAGCTTCTCCTCTGAATTAAGTAGTACGAAAGCACATATGTCATATATTTATAAGATGAAAGAAAAGTTGAAACCCATTGGAATTGAAAGTCAACGTATATATTTAATCAAAACGGCCATCTGATTTCCCACACATGATATCCTAAGCAGTACGTAAATGAAATAATTCACTTTAATATTTACATGTTTCAAGGCGGTTAATTAAATTGAAAATTTTATTCGTTCTACTTTTTATCTTGGCAAGAAAGTCGACGAGTTCTTGAAAAATCTTATTGTCGACAAGAACGACTTGTTGATGTCAAATCATCGAACTTTTAAATGGCGAAAACATTGGTGTAGGTAAAATGCAATTCCATGGTTTGACCAGTTTCGCCAGTTTTGGAGTGTGAATTACGGCCGGCCAAAAAGAAATTTTCCGAACCATATTATTTGAGTCCGCATACGGTTTCAGTTGTGAAACCAGCTGCTTCGGTCGGATCAGACTGCCTATATGAAGACTTATAATTTTATCCAGGTATATAAATAAATCTGTCCATGTCTCTTTAACAATATTATGATTAATCGATTTTCTCTCATTTTTGTTTTTGTTTGGAGACCTCACTATATTACATATGCACCAAACTGCAGCAAGATCATATTTTGCAGAAATCTCTTTCCATCAATCTTCTTGTCAATTTTAACACACAACATTTGAATGTGTGACCTCCTAATTAATCGATTTTGTTTTTCATTTATTAATAGACCACCTTCAAAATGTCTGATTACAAACGAAAAAAAAAGAGGCTATAGATACTGTTTGTATCCGTTAATTTGTACCGAATTGCTACACTAGTGTAACTAGTTGATGATGAAACTAATTTAAAAAAATAAATAAATAAAAACAGGTACTGATTAGTGCAGAAGATGATTGGAATGGACCTTTCACTTTTTTCGTTTCGTCATGAATCAATTATTAATTACATTTAGATATTTTTGTTACTAAAATTGTATTGTGGGATGGAAACATGACATACCAGGTAGATTCAAAATTATTTTGCAACATATTTTGAGCGTTTTCACCATCTCTGTTTCCAAGTTTCTTCATTCTTCCTCTTCACATATTATTCAGATTGGTTGGTAGGCATCATAGATATGGACCCGTTGGGTCAATTTGTTCGGACTGTTTGAAGAGAATTTCATAAGGAATATTGTGGACGCGTTACGAGTTTTCTAGATTTATATTTTGATTTAATATTCTTCGGTTCTAAAATAAATATCATGTTTTTACAAAACATGATTCATCATTTTGATGTTCTTGGGTTGTCTGGAATTAATAGTCACCGAAAACCTCCCAAACTTGCCACCAATACAAAATGCTCCGTTCTATTCCGAAATGTTTATTGAATTTGGATTTTCATTTTTAATTTAAATTATATTAAAAATGTGAATGAAAATTGGACAATTATTTTGGGATGGAAAAATATC